ATACGTGCCGAGGAGGGTGAGAGATATGTGCGGATTCCCAATCGCGCTGTCCACGAACTCGCGGGCGTACCCATCAACGATGGTGGGGTCGTCGTCGCTGAGTAAACTGACGATCTCAGCGGTAATCAATTCGATGTTGCCTTCACTCAGTTTGTTCACAAGTCCACGAATTTTACTCAACTTTAGCGCGCGTTCTTCCTCTGCCGTCGTTGTGGACTTCCGCGTTCGAAGATGAGGGGGGACATACGCACCCGTCTCTTTGGACTCCGCAGAAGCCTCGGGAACCTCTTCAAGGAGTACTAACGATGAACTCAGAATGTGGTATGGGAAGGACCGACTACCTCTGCCTTGTTCCTCAGAGGTTTCGTTCTTAGGTCCTTTCAGCTCCTTTTTTCGACTCTTAACTGCATCTTCGATATTATCGAGGGCAGTGAAAAGGTCGGCATCGAGACCATCCCTCTCGAGCTCTTCCATGACCTTCTGGCGATTTTCTAAGGATAACATTGAATGCCGACGAGTGAAGCTGAATTCTTGACCGAGAATCGTACGGGCCCACCGAGAAGCCATGAATAAACCAGATCACCCACGTCTCGTACTGTCTATGCCCAATTTATGCTCCCAATATTCCACTTCTTCATCAGCAGAATTCTCCGAGTCTTCGGCTTCTTCATCATCTGCGGCAATCCAGGATCTACAGACAATTCCTACTCTTCAACTCACCATCGGGAGAGTCTTCCTCCGCCATTTCTGAAAAAAATACAAAATGGAAGCTGATGAATCCCGAGTTGTGGATACGGAGAATATTTACGGAGACCTTTGACGAGAGATGCCGCGCGTTCGGAGAAACCTCACCAACGATGTCATCCATCTCATGGCATTCAACCCTATGCAGAGCGATTCCAACCACTGCTTTCCAATCAGACTCAACAAACGAACTCATCCTAGAACCAATCACCTTGTCGGCTCGGCTCGCTTCTATCGAGATCTCTCTTCCGCTCCTTGACGGCATCATCGATCGCATCAAGAGATTGGAAGAAGTCTTCATCCCAGCCATCCTTGATGAACTCTTGCTTCACTTTTTCATTATTCTCTGAAATGGCCAAGAGTTGGTAATGACTCGCAAGCATGCACGAGCGTACCACCATGGATACCCAATTTGTCTTCCCAGTACTTCACTTCTTCATCAACACTCAATTGCTGTTCACCCTCGTCTTCGGAGGCTTCTCGCTCTGAGCACAACAGACCAGTTCACGAAAGGCTCCGTTCTGACCGATCCTGGCCATTACTTAACCCCCAGTCAAACCACTCTGAGTCCCCAAGGAAGATTCGAAAACAAAGTAGTGCATTAGTGTCTGGAAAATTGAATTTCCCGGACTTCTCACTCAAGTTTAAGGTGTTCCAGATGGACCAGCGTACGGTGTGCGCTGCACGCGATGGTCCGGGTCGGAACGAGAAACTCAACCCTGGGCATTCCTAAACTGAGCCAGGAGACCGAGATGGTCACAGATATTTCCTTGTCTTCTCGATAAACAGTTCGATCGAGTGTCTTCTTCCTAACCTCTCTTATACTCTACACAATAAGATGAAGGATATAAAGGAAATCAATGAGACTCAAATTTCCAGGAAATATCTTCATCAAAAAAACCGAGAATCAGACGGTTGAACTACAGACCCTACAAATGACTACTACCTTTGATAACTTTCCGCCTTTTACTTCCACCAATTCGACGCTGTTGTCGCCGCTTGAGACTCTTCCTGGGCGGCGCCATGTGCCAATGGAGTAAATGAAAGCTGATCAGGAGGAGGGGAGGGAGGTTAAGGTACATTCTGAGGCGGTCGAGGTACACAAAGAGAACATTCCCACCACGTGTTGGGTGTTAATGGGGGGAGGAGAGGAGCGGTTTTGGGACGTAGGAGGTCAATCTAGGGCATGCCATGATACAACCAAATCTTCTGGGTGGGGCGA